TCTCGGTCCGGTACGGGTGCAACACTGAGGGTTGCGATCCGTTGCCGGTCACGAAAAAAGACAAAAAGGAAAAAGAAAAAGAAAAAGAAAAGAAAGGAAAGGAAAGGAAGAAATTAAGGGAGACTAAAATAAATGTAAAGACCTCCAACGTTCATGAGTTAAACTTGATAGTTAATACAGCAATACTTTCCAAATTGCTCTACAGATACAACATAATCCCTAATAAAATCCCAGTTGGCTTTTATTGTGGAAAGAGAGGAGCTGATGGGCCGAGCCTGTGGCGCACTCGGGAGAGTGCGGCGCTGGGAGCGCAGCAGTGCTCCCGCCGCGGGTTCAGATCCTTGCGGCGCTGGGAGCGCAGCAGTGCTCCCGCCGTGGGTTCGGATCCTATATAGGGATGACCGGTGCGCTCACGGCGCTCACTGGTTGAGCGCAGTGCAGCCGGTCTCAAAAAAAAAAAGAAAGAGAGGAGCTGATCCTAAAATTCATATGAAAATGCAAGGGTCCCAAAATAGATAAAACAATCTTGGAAAAAAAGAACAAAGTTGAAGGACTCAAATATCCCAATTTCAAAACTTACTATAAAGCTACAGTTATCATAATAGTGTGGCACTGGCAAAAGGATAAATATACAGATCAACAAAATAGAAATGAGACTCTAGAAAACACCACACATTTACTGTCATCTGATTTTGGACAAGGGTGCCAAAATAACTCAATAGAGAAAGAATAGTCTTTTCAACCAATGATGCTAGGACAACTGGAAATCCACATACAAAAGAATGAAATTGGATCTTTGCCTCACCTAAAAGTTGTATGAAATGGATTAAAGGCCTAAATGTAAGAACTCTTTAAGAGAAAACATAACCATAAATCTTTGTGACCTTGGATAGGCAATGGTTTGTTAAATTTGACAACAAAAACACAAGCAACAAAAGAAATACAAAACTAGACTTCATCTAAATTAAAAACTTCTGTGCTCTAAACCATAACATCAAAAAGTGAAAAAAAGAATGGGAAAAACAAATTTGCAAATATCTATTTAACAAAGGAATTGCATCCAGCATATATAAAGAACTTTTGCAACTCAACAGGAAAAAAACAACCCAGTTAAAAAATGGGCAAAGGACTTGAATAGACATTTCTCCAAAGAAGATATACAAAAAACCAGTAAGCACATGAAAAATGATGCTCAATATCACTAATCATTAGGGAAATGCAAATCAAAACCATAATGAGATACCACTTCACACCCTATGATGGCTATAAAAAAAAATAATGGAAAATAACAAGTGTTGATGAGGATGCAGAGAAACTAGAACCCTAATACATTGTTAATGGAAATGTAAAATGGTGCAGCTACTGTGTGTGTGTGGGGGGGGGAGGAACAAATTACTAACACACACTACAACATGGATAAACTTTGAAAACATTATGTTAAGTGAAAGAAACCAGACACAAAAGGCCCACATTATATGTTTCCATTTATATGAAGCATCCAGAATAAGCAAATCTTAGAAAGCAGATTAGTAAATGCTAGGGGCATGGGGAGGGGAAAGTATATGACTGCTTAATGACTGCAGGGTTTATTCTTGGGGTGATAAAAATGTTTTGGAACTACAGAGTGGTGATAGTGGAGCAACACTGTGAATTTACTAAAAGCCACTAAACAATATACTTAGAAATGGTTAAAATGCAGGATTTTATGTTATGCAAATTTTACCTCAATTTTTAAAAAGCGGGGACAGGGTCACCAGATGATTTTATTTTATAGCCAAAGCAGAGAATCACTGACTTAAATAATCACATATTTAAATAGAGCAACCTTAACTTTGTTACAAACTTCTCAAATCAACTATTCAATTACTCTTAAGGGAATTGTTAGATCTTATTATCAAATGGCAACTAACTATACAATCCTCGCATTAAGGTTTTTCTACAAAACATTTCAGGGAATAAAGATGCTAAACCAATGCTTCTAATTTACAAAATCATTCCCTGTCATAAGAATAGATACACAAACACAAATAAGTTTCTTTTTCTGTTCTTAATGCATATTTAAATGACAACTCTTAAATAGAAGAAATCACACAGAAATGATTAAAACATTAAACTACATACACATTTTTAACTTCTGTATTTAAATAAACACAGTGACAAAAAAATTAAAGAAATATATAGCATATATGATACAGGATTAGCTAGCTAGCTATCATATAACAATTAAATAGAAGAAATCACACAGAAATGATTAAAACATTAAACTACATACACATTTTTAACTTCTGTATTTAAATAAACACAGTGACAACAAAATTAAAGAAATATATAGCATATATGATACAGGATTAGCTAGCTAGCTATCATATAACAACTACATATAAGTTGATAATAAAACATCTCACTACATAATTGGACATGAATGTCTGTGTCCCTCCAAAATTTGTATGTTGAAATCTAATCCCTAATTAGATAGGAGGTAGGGCCTTAGTAAAGTGATTTGGTCATGAGGATGGAGCACTCATGAATGGGATTTGTGTCTTTATAAAACAGGCCTGAGGGAGCTTGCTTGCCCCTTTTGGCATTCCACCATGTGAGAACAAAGCAAGAAGGCACCGTCTTTGAAGCATAGAGCAAGCCCTCACCGGGCACCGAATCTGCTGCCACCCTGATCTTGGAATTCCCAGCCTTCAGAACTGTGAACATTAAATTTCTATTGTTTATGAATTACTTGGTCTGAGGTATTTTGTTATAGCAGCAGAAACAGACTAAGACACTACCAACTCACAAGGGAAAAACCACATGAAATACAAATATATGGAAGTATTTAATCTATCAAATTGTCATTACACAAATTAAAACACAAATAGAATGACATATTTTTACTTCCTAAATTAAAACAAGTTAATTTTTATATTAATTCATAAGTAGCGGGGACAGTTTTCTAAACACCAAACTATAATAGAAATAGAAAACACCCACATACACAAAACTTTGTATAAATGATGCCATATTTCTAATAAAAATAACTAGTCTTCACTTTTAATCACTCACCTTACCCCACCTTTTTAGATTCAGTTCTGCTACTACCATAATGAAAACTACCCAAAGAAAACAAAACTCTTTGGGGATCAAGGGAGAAAGAGCAAAGAACCTGAGGGGAAAATATATGGAATTTGGCAAATTAAAAAGATAGATCCTAGAATAATACTTAGAGAACTGCTGGCCAAGGGACCTTAACCTATCTATCCACAAGCCCTTAAAGGATCTATGGATTAACCTCGAGGGATTCACAATCCCTGAAATTGTGTGCAAAGCTGTCTTTTCTATATTTCCCTTGGGAAAAATTTTATAGCTTTCATCAAATTCTTAAAGGAGCTCAAGAGCCAAAAGAGTTTAGAACTACCAAGATTCTAGGTTAAACCCCTTCATTTTCAGAATCAACCAGAAGATGTAAAGTGACATAAGCAGATTCCCAGTGTTTATTTTGTGTTTAATAAATATGTTTACATTGTATTATCCATGTATTTTCACTATTTCATCCTTTTTACATTTTGATTCTTTGTTTTCTAATATATATTATATTGACAAACATAATTTATAAATAAATGGACAATTAG